AAAAAAAAAAAAAAAAAAAAAAAAAAAAAAAAAAAAAAAAAAGGAAAGAAAAAAAGAAAAAGGAAAGAAAAAAAGAAAAAGGAAGATAGCCAGCTGAGCATGAGACAGAGAACAAAGCCTGTAAGCGAGCAAAAATCGTACACGGTTTCTGCTTCAGTTCCTGCCCTGATTTCCTTCAATGGTGGCCCATGACCTGGAAGTATAAAATGAATTGAACCGTTTCCTCTTCTAAATTGAAAATAAAGGGGGGCGCTTTTTATACAAATGCCAAGGGGAGCGGCAAAAGACCCTCCCACCTTGCAAGATCAAAGTACACCATGCAGCCAAGTGTAGACCCTTCAAAACATCTGGTAACCACGCCCATGGTCAAATCATTCCCTTATGCAGCCCTGCTGGGTGAAGCAAGTCCAGATTCTCTGACCCTGTGTAAGTTCTCACCAAGAAACCTCTGTGGGTCACCACACGTAGCCTCATCATTTTTCTAAATTTTTTTTTTGTTAGTCTGGGGACTGAAATAGTTCCAGTGTTGAAATTTAATGTTCCCTAAAAGAAAAATATCTGATGGGGCTGGAGAGATAGCTCAGTGGTTAAGAGCACTGGCTGTTCTTCTAGAGGATTCAGGTTCAAATCCCAGCACCCGCATGGGAGCTCACAATTGTCTGTACGTCCAAGATCTGACACCCTCACACAAACACACAGGCAAACACCAATGTACATAAAATAAAAAATGAATAAAAATTAAAAAATAGAATAATATCTGATAGCTTACTGTGTGCTGGGCACAGTGCTGCATCTAGGGATGCCTAAATGAATGAAACTTATGATCTTGACCTTATAGAATCTGAAATTCTATCAGATAATAACAGTATGTAATTATCGACTTTAAAAGACTTATTTTCAGCTGGGCGGTGGTGGCACACGCCTTTAATCCCAGCACTTGACTCGGGAGGCAGAGCCAGGTCTCTGTAAGTTCAAGGCCAGTCTGGTCTAGAGAGCTAGTTCCAGGACAGCCAGGACTGTTACACAGAGAAACCCTGTTTCGAAAAACCAAACTGCCAGAGTCCAGCTCCAGTGGGGTTCAGGTCCCAAAGAGGAGATGTGGAGTTGGTGAGGGAAAGGGACTGACAGGACCTAAGGGCCAATCAGCATGGCTGACCATTTGCTGAAAACAGGCTGCACGTCATATACCCTATAATTGCATTATAGTTTGAGCAGTCAATATTGAAAGCAAACAGTGATTCTGGGGTGAAAGAGGTCGTCAGTGCCATTACAGCATTTTTCTTGAAGCATAAAAACAATAAGTTTAGCAAGAATCTAAACACCTATTGTCCTCTAAGGTTCAGTAACCCTACCAGGACTTTTCTAGAAGCACAAAGCAAAAATCTAAATGCCTATTGTCTAAGGTTCAGTAACCCCACTAGGCACCCTCTTACACTTCCTCCTGCATGGTCTCAGTCTTTGTGGTCAGGAGGGGTCAGACATTGAATCCTGAGAAACAAACCCGTAAGAGCAGTTTTCATTCCTCAGGGGGTATGATGCAGCATTTGTACAGTGTAGCACAAGCATTGAACTGTTTCCTGATTGTATTCCTTTGTGCCCGTCTTATAATATAGAACTGTTCTTGTAAGCTCCCAAAGGGAAGGTCCTGACATCTTACTCTTTTTCCATTATACCACGCCATTCTGATTCCTTCACTGTGTGCTCCTGTGTATGGCAGAGGGGGACCCCAGTCTAACTTCTTCTTTTTTTTTTTTTTTAAATAAAGGGGGGATGAATAGAGTGATAGGAACAGTTTTGAAAGTAGATTTTTTTTTTAAAGATTTATTTATTTATTGCGTACACAGTATTCTGCCTGCATGTGTCCCTGCAGGCCAGAAAAGGGCACCAGATCTCATTACAGGTGATTGTGAACCACTATGTGGTTGCTGGGAATTGAACTCAGGACCTCTGGAAGAGCAGCATGTGCTCTTAACCACTGAGCCATCTCTCCAGCCCCAGTCTAACTTCTTCTTCTCCTTCTCCTTCTCCTTCTTTCTCCTTCTCCTTCTTTCTCCTTCTTCTCCTCCTTCTCTCCCCCGAGACAGGGTTTCTCTGTAGCTTTGGAGCCTGTCCTGGACTAGCTCTGTAGACCAGGCTGGCCTCGAACTCACAGAGATCTGCCTGCCTCTGCCAGGCGTGCGCCACCACTGCCTGGCCAGTCTAACTTCTTAACAGAATCTGCTCACAGTGGAGCATACCAGATCTTGCCATACATGCAGTAGGCCACTAATAGCGGGCACTGTTCTCTAATTAACTGAACCCTTGCCCTAAATGGCCGCAGGCTCTGAATCTGCACTCCTTGTTTCTCTTGATTGTGTTTTTCATCTCTGGGACCAGATATGCCCAGTTAATAAATCTTTAACCGTTCTATTCTTGGTGTAATTGGAGGGGGGTGCATAATGGGGAGTCTTGTGTGGGAAGTAGGCAGAGTTATTATGCTATATAGTTCCATATGGCAGGGATTTTTTTGTCTGTTTAAAGAAACTGCCACTGTATATATTCTTTTGTTTTGTTTTTTTGTTTGTTTGTTTTTGTTTTTCGAGACAGGGTTTCTCTGGGTAGCTTTGGTGCCTTTCCTGGAACTCACTCTGTAGCCCAGGTTGGCCTTGCACACTGTATATATTCTTATCCTTCACCAAAGCTCACGCAAAATTTCCCAAAGGAACAGGCATAGGGAAACTCCCTTAACACATAGTGAGAATCATTAAAAATGGAAGTAAATGGGCTGGAGAGATGGCTCAGTGGTTAAGAGCACTGGCCTCTCTTCCAGAGAATCTAGGTTCAATTTCCAGCACCCACATGGCAGCTCACAAATGTCTGTAACTCCAGTTCCAGGGGATCTGACTCCCTCACACAGACATACATGCAGGCAAAACAACAATGAGCATAAAAAAAATCATAGAAAGCAAGAAGGTGCTGAAAAGTTATGATTTGCAATATCAAAATGCTGGAATTTTGTCAAGCAACAAAACAAACAAGACTTATTTTCATTGGGTGCTGGTGGCGCACACCTTTAATCCCTGCACTTAGGAGACAGAGGCAGGCTGATCTCTGAGTTTGAGGGCAGCCTGTTCTACAGAGTGAGTTCCAGGACAGCCAGGGCAATAAAGAGAAACATTGCCAAAAACAAAACAAAACAAACAAACACAAAAAAACAACCCAAACCAACCAAACAAAAAAACAGATTTTGTGTGTGTGTGTGTGTGTGTGTGTGTGTGTGTGTGTGTGTGTGTGTGTTCTTGGAGGTCAGAAGAGGGCATCAGATCCTTGGAACTGGAGTTACAGGCAGTTGTGAGCCACCTGAAGTGGGTGCTGGAATTCTAATTCTGGTCCTCGTGAATGAGCAGCAAGTGCTCCTAACCACCAAACCATCTTGACCCTTTAGGGGTTATGTATGAAATAACAGTACAGATACTTGGGAGTGGGTGCAGTCCTGAGGATTGAAACAAGGACCAGGCTAAGGCCACAAGGTAGGCTTCCAAGGAATATGTTTATAGCTAAACGTTTGCATGTCTACATCTTTTATTTCCTGGGAAGATTCTCTAAAAATGTTACTTCTGAGCTCAAAACTGCTTATTTATAATTTAAAAATATTTTTGGGGCCGGGCGGTGGTGGCACACGCCTTTAATCCCAGCACTAGGGAGGCAGAGGCAGGCGGATCTCTGTGAGTTTGAGACCAGCCTGGTCGACAAAGCGAGTTCCAGGAAAGGTGCAAAGCTACACAGAGAAACCCTGTCTCGAAAAACCATATTTTAATTTTAGATTCCCAACAAAATGTAGCTTAAAGTTCAGAGTTCTCATATGCCTCCTGGAGGGCTTCTTTTCCTCTCCTCCACAATCCGATGTTGTTTTTTTTTCTGGTGCTGAGGATGTGGTCCCATTACCTCCCACATGCTAGGCAAGGCTCCATATATGCCTTTCGGCTCGCTTGACTTATATGGAAGTTTTCGGGGGAATATGCAAAGCCGCAGAAAACAAACAAGCACTCTGATCGATTAAGTTCATGGTTAAATAGATTAGGGCACAGGTGTCAAAGTAAAAACTACGTTTCCCAGGATGCAACGCAGCACGTCACAGAGAAGTATCGGGCATGCGCAAAGGAGTCCTCCGCGCTCGACCGCGCTCATAAGAGAAACAGCGTGTGTGGTTCTTGACGTGCCGCGAACCTTCGAACACCAGCGCTGGACCACCCTGTGAGGAAGCGTTCCAGCGACTCTCCTGTTCCCACCGCCTCAGTTACCAGCGCGACGTGCTGTTTCGCCCCAGACTCGGTAGGTGGGACGGGACCATGGCAAGGTACTTCCAAGCAGCGCGGGAACGAAGGGCCAGCGCTCCTGCCCGGCGCCCGGCTCGCTAAGGCGGCTTCGGAGGAGACGCGCAAGCGCCCTGGACGGGGAAGGGGGCGGGGCTGCGGGTGCCTGCGCCCCGGCTCCCTGGGTCTGCGCGTGCGCCCTACGTGCCCGGCGCGGTGGGAAGCGGCTGGCGCTGGCTTAGCTCGGGGCGGGCACCTGGGCAGGTACTCGGCCTGAGCTTGGGCCCCGGACACCTGCACTTTTTCCTACTTGCTCAAAAGCTTATTGGATTTTGAGACGGTCTCGCTCCGCCCGGCCTTGAGCTCGCTGCAGTCCTGCCCCAGCCCCGAGTGCTGCCCCAGCCCCGAGTGCTGAGCTTACAGACTCATTCCCCAGAGGTGTCCATTGACACAACAGTATAACTTCATCCACCCTCCAGCCCACTCATCTGTCAGTTTACACGGCAGCCTAGGGCGTCAGCTTCTACTCATTAGCATCTTCCCCCACCATTCAGCTCTCTCCAGGGAAGCCCTGTCTCGTGTTATTCCAGAGAAACAGCTCCACCAAAGCCTCCTTGACTTCCGAGTTGCCAAATTAAGCGGTGAAGGCTTGTAACATCCTCTTTCATCGCCTAAAACTCTTGCTCCATTTCTTTATCTTTAATGGTGGTACCATCGAAATACATAAACATCTTGCCTTCCTTTCTTTTCACTTCCTGGAACACTTTCAATATAAATAACATTTATATTGGTGCTAACTCATTTCTCTCTTTGTTGTTGTTGTTTTTTGCTTGTTTGTTTGTTTTTCTATATAGGGTTTCTCTATATAACAGCCCTGGCTGTCCTGGAACTTACTATGTAGACCAGGCTGGCCTTGAACTCAGAGAGATCCGCCTGCTTCTGCCTCCCGAGTGCTGGAATGAAAGGCTTGTGCCACCACTGCCTGGCTTTTGATTCTACCTACCTTTTTTTTTTTTTTTTTTTTTTTTTGGTTTTTCGAGACAGGGTTTCTCTGTGTAGCTTTGCGCCTTTCCTGGAACTCACTTGGTAGCCCAGGCTGGCCTTGAACTCACAGAGATCCGCCTGGCTCTGCCTCCCGAGTGCTGGGATTAAAGGCGTGCGCCACCACCGCTCGGCCTACCTACCTTTTAAAAGTATTTAGTGTGTGTGTGAAGGCAGTCGTGTTCATGCCATGGCACTTGTGTAGAGGTCCAAGGACAGCTTTCAGGAGTTGGTCTTCTCCTTTGTGGGCTTCTAGGATTGAACTCAGGTCATCAGGCTTGGTGTAGGCACTTACATCTGCTGGGCTTTCTCACTGGCCCCTCGCACTTATATTTTTAGCTCAGTATTCTGTTGTGGCATTTGAATCCATTGGGACTTACGCTCAATTCAAATTTAGATTAAATGAGTTTATTTTTTTTTTTCCCCCCCAGAGCTGAGGACTGAACCTAGGGTCTTACGTTTGCTAGGCAAGCGCCCTACCACTGAGCTAAATCCCCAACCCCGAGTTTATTCTTACTATTAGCAGAAGGACAGCAACCTTAGAACCAAACAGCATGCCTGCTGAAGGGGCTAAAGGAAGGGTTTCTAAAGAAAATTTACAACCCTCAATTGTTTCTCTCTCTCATTGTATAGTAATAAAAAGACCACTTCATCTCAGTCCACAGCGATAAGCAAGTTTACAAAAGCAGAAAGCAGGAACACCACTATCCTATTCTTATCTCACCTGCAGGCCACTAGGATATCATAGGCATGTCTGGGCAAAGGTAAAGGGCCCCTAAGGGATGCCTGGTACCATATTAGGTTTCTTTGGCTCTCACAGGAGAGTTATGTATAGATTATTACACAGATCTGAGCACTCTGGGGGAAGTGTCACTAATTGATCGGGATAGAGCAGGCCATAATATAATGCCATCAGGTTAGTGCTGGCTGTCACATCTCCAACAATTCTACCTTCAACTCAAGATTTGTTTTTATTTTTTATTTTTTTGTTTTTCGAGACAGGGTTTCTCTGCATAGCTTTGCGCCTTTCCTGGAGCTCACTTGGTAGCCCAGGCTGGCCTCGAACTCACAGAGATCCACCTGGCTCTGCCTCCCGAGTGCTGGGATTAAAGGCGTGCACCACCACTGCCCGGCTCTGTTTTTATTTTTATTTAGGTTTATTTGTGTATTTTTATTATTAATTTAAAAATATTTTGCAACTTTTTAATTTTTTTTTTTTGACTGGTCTCCCCATGTAGCTCTACCTGTCCTTGAAGTCACTCTGTAGACCAGGCTGACCTGTAACTCAAGATCCGCCTGCCTCTGCCTCCTCAGTGCTGGGATTGAAGGCATGGGCTGCTATGCCCAGCAACATTTTGTTTTTTAAAGATTATTTACTTCTATTTTGTGAATATGAATATTTTGCCTGATGTTTATACACCACATGCAGAGACCATAGAGGTTATCAGATTTCCTGAAACTGGAACAAATGGTTATTAGCCACCATGTGGGTGCTAGGAATTGAACCTGGGTCCTCTGGAAGAATAGCCAGTGCTCTTGATCACTGAGCCATTGCTTTAGCTCATTATTATTATTATTATTATTATTATTATTATTATTATTATTTTGCGATAGGGTTTTACTCTGTAGCCCAGACTGACTTTGAACTCATGGTGATCCTCCTGTCTTGGTCCTGTGAGTGCTGCAGATTTTTAGATTCAGCTCTAGTATATGTCAAATAGACATTTCAGATGTGAGCCAAACTGAAATCTTTGGTTTTATCCTCACATGCTCATACTTTCACTAGTGTTCCCGTCCTCCACTCAGGCTAGGAACTTGAGAGGTATTTGTGGGGTTCCCCCACTCTTCTCCATCAGTGTGTTAGAACAGGATTATTCTTGTCTCGGTACTGAACTGTGTATTGTCCTTTTGTATTCTAATTTATCCATTTATATATTGTACTGGTTTCCTTTCTGCTGCTGTGATAAACACCCTGACAAAAAAAGCAACCTGGAAGAGAAAGGTTTGTGCGGCTGGCCATTCTGGGTTATAGTCCATCACTGTGGGGAGGCCAAGGCAGGAGCTTGAAGCAGCCGGTCACAGCTGCAGTCAGGAGCAGAAAGAGATGAATGCACGAATGTCCACTTGTGTTCAGTCCCCTCTACACTTACACAGTCCAGGACCTAAACCCAGGGAATCATGCCATCAAGGATGGGTGGTTTTCCCATCCCAGTTAACATAATCAAGATAATCTCTCACAGGCCAACATTGAGAATCTTTTCCCAAGTGATTTAGATGTCAAGTTAAAACTAATCATCACATGTCTTTATCTTTTTTAGTGTTTATTTCACCTTAATAATAAGTATATGGAACATATGCATCACATAATGATGGGAATGCAATCTAAGAAATGCTCTGTTAGGTGATTTTGTCATATGAATGTTCTTATACATCCTAGATTGTGTAGCCTACTACATACCTGTTACTCTTGGGCTATACCCATATACAGCATATTACTATAACAAATACTATAGGTAGTCTTCATAAAATGAAAAGTATTTGTGTCTACACAGAAAAAGTTCAATAAAAATACTAGGTGAGGGCCAGGGAAATGGCTCAGAGAGGAAAGACACTTGTCACTAAGTCTGACAGCCTGAGTGTGACCCACGTGGTAGGAAGAAAACCAGTAAGCCTGTGGAACATGGGCTCCTACACGCAATAAATAAAATATTTAATAGAAGTAATGAGGTGATGGAAGTTTTGAGCTTATAATATTTTTTGAGCATTATAATCTTTGTTTTGTTTTTTGAAACAGGGTTTCTATGTGTAACAGCCTTGGCTGTCCTGGATCTCACTTTGTAGACCAGGCTGGCCTCGAACTCACAGAGATCCACCTGTGTCTCTGCCTCCTGAGTGCTGGGGTTAAAGGCAAGTGCCACCACGCCTGGCAATTATAATAAGTATTATAATATTATAGTAAGATTTATATTAATATTAGACATTCAAGAGGAGATATAATGCTAGAGCTGAATATAAAAATCTGGACTATAATCTTATGAGACCACTGTCGTGTGTTTGGTCTGTTGTTGGGTGTTGGCATTGTTTGGCATGTGACTATATTTGTTTAATGTCCATTCTGCAATGTTTTTCTTTCACTACTGCACATCCTTCATGTCTTAGATAATTAGCAAATACTACTGAGTGGAATTATGAAGGGGCAACACCTCTTCTACATATGTGGGAAATAGATAAGTCTCTCTTGGAAGATGTTGGTGTTTACCAGCTTTTTCTGGAGACAGGAGAACTTGAATAGTTTAGATTAAAAACTGTTGCAGTGATCTAAGCTGAAAGACTGCTCCAAGGGGTGTTCAGGACTCAGCTCTATTCAGCAATCTGATTGAAAGCACTGTGTGCCAAGGCCTGTGCAGATCAGGAAGGTGACTAGAGTAGCATCTGTATTCAGAGCTCGGGATCTGGTAGGAGAGCTGTCAGTGAGACAGCTCATCGTATGCATGAATGCCAAGTACAATAACAGAAGTTTACTCTGAAGGCTGAGGCTGGAGAAATGGGAGTTCAGTGCCAACCTGGACTACAGGGAGACCCTACCTCAAAGGCAAGAAAATAAGCTGGCCATTGTGGGAGGCCAGCTCCCACCTTTCCCAGGGATCCAATGAGGAGGAGAGTGGGATAAGAAAACATTAGATAGAAAGATAGCAAAGGGGAGAAAGACAGAAACACAGGATAGCTTCGGGAGAACCTGGTTCAAAACCCAACAGCCTTTTCCAGCTATTCAAAAAGGCTTTTTATAACAATGCCAAGGATCAGAGCAAAAGACCTCCCCCTTGCTAGATCAAAGCACACAGCCTAGCCAAGTGTAGACCCTTCCAAACACCTGTTAACCATGCCCATGGCCAAATTATCCCCTTATGCAGCCCTGCTGGGTAAAGCAAGCTCAGATTCTCAGACCCTGAGTAATTTGGGCCTCCACAGGGCATGATG